TAGTGCTAAACCCGAACTAGTAGTGAAAGACAGCAGTGGTGGTAATCTTGCAGTTGGACAACTATCTGAGAGCCGAACAAGAACAGCTTCTGATCCACCACTAAGTTCATCACCTTGTGTCACTCAGTCATCGTTGGTGTTTTCATCCACAATGAAACAGATGCCCATCAACTCAAGTATCTTGTGCAATGACTATGGTAGTATCAGTTCGTTTGAAAGGACGAATATCAATGGTCAGTTTAGTGTGGATAAGCCAAGTGTAAAGGAGAGAGTTATTGTTAAATTGACTTGCACGAATAAAGGCATTTCTAGTTTCAAGTTACTATTTGAATGTTATTATCTTTGGTGTAAATTACTCTGTTTCTATACTTGGTTGATGAGATATGTCGTGTGTTTGTTGGTCATCTATATTCTACGATACAATGACATGGGCGTGTTGCCGTTCAGATTTGAGGATATAGCTGATAGAAGGAAGTTAGCAAATGAACTCTGCGACGATTTTCCAACCTAGGGCGTCAACCTGAGAAGGGTTGTAGGCGTACTGCTGTAAGTCCTACAGTTCTTCAAAGGGTAGCGCATCAATGAGCAGTCCAATGTGCTTGGTGTGTGATTTTGTACATATGTTCATATTGTATATACTGAATTGATATCATCTGTCATCTAGCTGTTGGTAATTCTGTTTGTGTCCGGACGACTTCCACTTGGATCATCAACCTGAGAAGGAATGTAGGCGTACTGCTGTAAGTCCTACAGTTCTTCAAGGGTAGTTTGTCGTGTCAGAATCCACAACATTTGATGTGTTGATTGTACATATGTTTGTGTTAAATAGTTGTGTGAGTTCCAATTGATGTAATTGTTGGTTAATCTTGTTTGTGTCTGGACATTCCACAACTTACAATCGTCAACCTGTGAAGGGTTGTAGGCGTACTGGTGTAAGTCCTGCAATTCTTCAAAGGAATTCCACCAAGACATGATCGCGAGGTTGTTTGTACTATTTGTATATACGTGTGGTGTGTCATATCAATTGGTGTTTTTGGATTCATTGTGTTTACTTGTTGTTTTCGTGTCTTGTTGTTATTGCGTAATTTTGTTAAAATTTTCGTCGTGATTACTTCTGAAGTTGTTTCGAGTCTTCTACATCCATGAATGAATTGATTGATGTTAAGGACAGCAGATGGGTCGTATACGCCGGGGAGGCTAGGCTATTGCTGAGAATGAAATGCACACGGAGATAATTGTTAGCTGCGGTCCGACACGCCGGGGAGAAAGAGTGTAAACGACTGAGGCTCGCATGCGTCACCGCTACTAGAACTGAGGCAGAATGAGTGACAAGCGATTTCAGTGGTAATTGGTAGTGAGTAGATAAGAGGATGTGCGTAGAGTATCGTGAGGTGCTGCCATGGTCACTTTGCATTCTGCAAGAGTCATTCTAGCAAGTGGCGATTGTGTTGCAAGATGTCAAGAGGAGGTCTCTGTCTGGAGGCGCAGGTCGTCATTGATGTGTGAGATTGTGCTGTGGGTATGCTTGTGGTGTGTTGGCTTTTCTGTTTGTTTTCCATTTCAGCTCTGTCCGTGTGACCCAGGTTCTCGCAATGGCATCCAAGTCAACGTGCATTGGTCGTGAAGGAAAAAAGGGTTGGATCCCTTTTTTGCCGGGGAGTGTCAATGGAGTTGAAGATTGAACGATCAATTCTTGGTTGTTTGCTCAAAATCAACTTCCTCGATTTTCGCGGAGGCATCAATACGACAGTCATCGTCTCATCGGTCGCTGTTCAGAAAGAAGAGTTAAACATCGTCAGAAGTAACATAACGATTTATTATTGTAATATTTGTTTACAGACCTTAGTTTTCTTAGTTTGCTTAGTGATACTTGATTTATATGCTGGTGTAACAATACATAATACTCAAGTCAACAATTGGTGTTCTGGTTTTTTCGTCCGTTGTTACTAAGCGTTTCTCAGAAATCTTCTAAGAACAGCGTGGGCCCGAGCGTAGCGAGAGCTGGGCATTAACGGTTTATGAGACGGTAGCTGACAGAAGCACTCATTAAGAAAGCTAGGGAGATTGAATATGAGGTACGAACATGTCTGGTACCAAGAAATATATTTGCGGTAGCCATAATAATCATAGTCTCAGAGCTTAACATCAAAAAAGGAGGGAGGGTGGCGCTAGCTGATCAGTAGATATGGTGGTGGTAACCAAGGTGAATCCCACCATTCTGCAGGAACAGCAATATGCAATTTGACGACTCGAGATACTTCTGATTTTTATGAGGGCTTAAATCTTTATATTGAAAAAGATAATAATGAACGCCTAGACAGATCATGCTTCTGCCTTTAAATATATACCGTTCGCTCAGCCTGTTGTTGAGATGCGACCACGTGGGCTCTGTGCGGATTTATGGGGTATCTTATAAACTAACTTGCTATCCATTGTCAGATCTTTAAATACCACTTCACAATGTCTTATCTCATTTATTTTCTAATAGCGTCTTTACTTGATCCTCACAATTACATTCCATTAAACCTAACACTTTATAGCTCTTTATGAATTTGATTCGACTTATTCTATTCCTACTCTCTGTAGGGTATGGTTGTGCACCAAATAGACAAGAAGGTATGAAATAAAAACAACTGGCTCGAAAATAATTGTATTAAAGCCAAAAGTGGACATCATGAAAGTAAGACCTATATGGGTAGCATTATACATTGCAAATGAACGTTGTCAGCCTAGGGAGTTTCCTTTATTAATGCATATATTAGTGATACTCGCACTTATCCATTTCACTACACTTTATTGATTTACCTTAGCACTTTTACTTTTCTAAAACAGCTTTCAGTCCCTTGTAGACGTTGTACTTACATGAATATTGGTTGGTTATCGTATGCCTACAACCACGGGTTGAAAACGAAACGAAGTCGATTTTCCCAAGCAACCTGGAGGACAACTGTACAATTCAATAACTATACGGCCTGGTTCAGACAATGAGTGTAATTATATATATATATATATATATATCAAATATTTAACTGTTGAAACATTATTAACTTGTAGACAATCTACGATTTGATATTATATCATACTCGATCGTGCCTATAAAAATGGCATGCATTTTCATGTAAATTTATATGTTTATATGAGAATATATATTATTATTATACGCTCCTTTTGGTCGCAAAACAGTCAAAGAAAGGGTCCTCATGGTTGAAAAGGTACGCAACGTGTTCCTCAAGACCAAGTCGGTTGCTTGGTCAAGAGTCAGACCGACCACAACTTATACCTGGAACTCAGGAACCGGTGCAACGCAATAGACAAGAGGTCGTTTCAAGCCAACCTCACCAAAATCTTCTGGCGAACCCCAAACGCCCGTACTGATTCATATCAGAGGGGAAACCAACCAACAAACCCACTATCAGCTTGGGACGATATGACATCTTGCTGGGATATGAATGTCCCAGTCCAGGTGGTCTTCCTAGTGTTTGTGAAGGCATTTGACACAGTCGACCATGACCTTTTCCTACACAAAATAGGTCAGGCAGGTATAGGTGAGCCGCTTCCTTCATGGTTGAAGGACTGCCTAGCTGAAAGGAAATTTCGCACTAAGGTCGATCGAGTCCGCCCATCTTGGCACGACTCGTCATCAGGAGTGTCGCAGTGTCCTATCCTAGGACCAACGATATTTTTGATTTTTATCAATGATCTACCACGCTGTCTGAGCTGCCCGACTCTTCTATACGCTGACGACGTAAGATATGGGGGCAATAAGGTGTCCGGAGGACTCAGATAGGCTGCAGGCGGACCTAGAGCTTCTGGAAAACTAGACTTCGGCCAATGGTATGACATTCGACCTAAAAATGTGCAAAGTTGTGGAATCAAGAACCTGTAGGCTGAAGAATGCAATTTACACCCTGTGCAACGAAAGCTTGTCCTTCACGACGTTGGAGCGTGCCTTAGGTCTAGTTATAACGGAGAGACTGGACACAAGCGTGAATTGCGCGGGGTATGTAGCGAGGGCGTACGTGGTCATACACTTTACACATGGACAGTTATATGCACTCACTAGTGAGCTCTTCGCAAGGTTGTACAAAACATGAGTTGGACCACACCTTGAAGTGCTTAATATCATTGCACCCCCACTGCTCAGAGGAGATGCAAACACCTTGGGAAGAGTCCAAAGACGGGCAAAGAAAGGAGCGATGGCTCTCCGGAATAAACCGTATGATGAGAAGCCAAGGAAATTAGGCCTGTTCATACCTAGCTACTGTCGGATTAGGAGGGATTTGATTACTGCATACAAGATGACACATGACCGCAATCACCTAAACAATGGTGCTTTCCCACCGAGTAGGTATGGGCTTCTTCGTGGAAATCGCAGAAGGACAGCTCACCAGAGGCCAAAGAATCGAGTGCGCTCCCACTTCGTTTCACTGCGGGTTTACCTTCCCTGGAACTCCTTACCAGCAGGTGCAGCTATGGTACCGTCTGTGAACACCTTTGAGCGAAGGCTTGACAATCATGCAGCGATACAATGACTGCGTCTAAACGGCCTATCCTCTTAAAATCCCGTACACCACTCATGGGTAGACAACTAAATTCGTCGTTTTCTTCACATTCTCTAGCGTCTTACTCTCCTGACTACTCAAACTACTACACTTGTTATTATTGATATCATATACATATATATTTATATATGTATGTGTATATGAACTCCAAATTTAGCTGGCTGTCTCTTTTTACGTTTTCTCTATCCCTTTTCTGTCCTTTAGTCTGACTAACCTACTGTAATTGTACGTTTCTCTTATGATCTCTTTTCTTTTCACGACAGTACCGGAGGACTGACTGGTCAGAGGATCGACTCCATTCACAGCAGTAAAAATGATTTTATGCATCACATACTACAAACCACATATGATTAATCTCAGCACTACTCATTTTGGAGTCAACCAAAGCTACGACGGTCGAGTGGCGGGAGGGACTACGCAGAAGTTTACCGAAGGCCAGAAACTTTTACCTCACAGTGAAGAAGTGAGCACAAAGAGATCAGATTGGTTTATACTAGCTCGTAAAAACGATATTAGACATTGGATATTAGGACTCAATATCAACGTTGACAACTGGACCGTTTTGTTTGTAAGGGCTTGACCCGCGCTCTCTGAACTTTGCCATTGTATCACGCTCTTACCGAGTTGTTGTTGTAATTATCTCTCTGGTGTGGCTGTCGGTCGTTGTGTTACAATGTCTACGCCGTCTAGTGCTCCTCAAGCTGAAACACCAGCTTCTGATATGGAGAGTGTTTGCAGGTGGGTGGCTTCTCTGCCAAATATGGAAACCAGAGAAGTCGCTCTCCTCGAGCTATGGTATGTTGTATTATTAGCTGTTAAGAGTCCATTTATGAAGCAAAAGGAGGGAGTCAGTTCCTGAGTTGGCTCCCATTCTCTGGCACGCATTCGGAGTTGTAGCTGCCTTGCTACAAGAGATATGCTCTATATATCCATTCCTAAATCCCCCAAACCTGAGCGTAAGTTGCCATTTTTCCTGTGTATAAATATGTATACATATATGTGCATATATATGTCTATCCAGATTTTAGGTATATGTTAAAAGTGGTAAGATAAGGGGCAAACCCTGTTTAAACCACTGATCGAATGTGTGAAACTTTCCCAGTTGGAGAATGCACATGGGCGATGTCGTCAAAACGGGCAATTTAGATCAGCTTAGATGCAGGCCAAAAGTGGGTGAAATGAGAAATAATTAACCCATGTTTCCATATTGGCCACTTATTTCCCGTTCGCCCATGTTCCGAAGAATTCTTACGCCCCGCTTTTCCCCCTTTTTAACCTCGCTGCCCATATATCCCATGTGTGGAAAGCCAAAAGCTACACACTTTTCCTCCTTTAGCCATGTCAGGACCGAAAATAGCACAAGTTTTACAACTTTCAAACGGAGAGCTCCCACGTTTATCTTCCGACTGAGCTGATTCAATGTCGGTATAATCTTGGTTGAATAATGATCACAGTGCTAAGCTTTGGTGAATTGCAATGTCGTGAGAAGTGTTTTGGTACCAGTGTCTGATTTAATTGAAGACTGACATGATACATCCTGAGTAGAACTCTGGGTGTGTTTGTCAAGTTTTACGTTCTGACTTGAACTGCTGCACTTTTGCGTTAAGTCCTACGTTGAGAATTCGATCAACTTGAGATTCTCCCTGTAGGTCACAGGTTCAAATGTCATTGCTTCGATATTTTGAGTGGAATTATTATACATTCCACGAGGTTGTGTATTCATTTGACTTTCATACATAGAGTCGGTTTTTGTTTGAATTTTTTGCATAGATAATTTGGGTGAGAGAAAACTCTGAGTTGATATTTATTCATATTTTTGTGACATTTGTATCTGTGATTGTGCCGTTTGTAAAATAACCCATCAATATATCCGTTCGCCTTTATAGGCACACCAATCCAACCGTGTTTGTAATGCGCTGGCCCTCATGCAGTGCCTGGCATCCCATCCAGAAACCAGAAAGGAGTTTCTGAAGGCCAACATACCTCTGTACCTTTATACCTTTCTGAATACAAATAATCAAACGCGTCCATTCGAGTACTTAAGGTTGACTAGTCTTGGAGTGATTGGTGCACTTGTCAAAGTAAGCGTTGTTTCTTATGCACTTCGAAATGTCATATTTGCAAACGTTTTTGTGAATTTATGAAATATTCTTTAAAAAGTTTACCTATGTCATCTGGTTAGTGCTTGATTGGTTTACAAAAACTGGTTGAAATTTGACTATCTTTTGTACCTTTAGCTTCAAAGCTTTGCTTTTGGAAAAGTAAGTCCACAACTTTCGGATCACGTAACGAAATAAGTGAAAAATGGACCCTATTCGTCAGTTATAGGTATGAGTTTTGATCTTTATCTTTTTGGGTTTTCCTACAATAAAACAGATTTATTAGTTTACTTAGCGAAACACAATGATAGCGTTATTTATTTACTGATAATATTTTAAACTATACTCCAGCCCGGTGCTCGGATTCTCCTGCACTGTATTCTTTTCAAAAGAATTTGACAGTCGCGTTTTAAACATGACAGTTAATTATCAGGAATAAACTCTGTATGGACGTTAACTCTATGTTCGGTAGAAAATTCTGTCTGTGGTGTTGAAATACTCTCTTTGCTATTGCGGATTTTCTGAGATAACCAGCATAATGTTTCGCAGTCTACAGGTGTAAATCATAAAAGGAAGCTAATGCAGTTTGTTTGGTAGATTATATCAAGACTACAAATTGGACTATCAAACCTGACGAGCTCATATCCTGGCGTTCGGATGTCTGTGCCTATGACTGGACAGACGATTTGGCTATGAAATATCAGAGGAATTCTGGTCTAAAGAATGAGTTTTGAAAACAACCTGTTTACGCGTAGTGGTTACAGGGTTTATTTTAGTCTGTTCTCTCGCTGTTTTGCAGCATAGGTTTGACTGCTTCATGTGATTAGAAGTGGTGTCTTTTCGTGTTAAGTCCATTTCGGTGAGGATGGGTGCAAAAGTTATATGACATTTAGACAAAATCATTGATACAGTGATTGGATAAGTTAATAAGAATTCGTAAAATATGATTGGTAGTCACTGAATTGAATTAAAATCGCTTTAGTGTAAACCTAAAGGTTTATTGGAAAGACGAAACTGTCATGTAGAAAAATAGGTGAAACCCGAAACACTGGTCACTCGAAACGTGTTATTAGTGGTTCTTTAGAACCATCTAGTCTTTGGAATAAATCAGACTGCTTCAGCTAGACATCATTCCCGTGATGAGTAGTGGTAGAAACATAAGTAATTCAGAAGCGCCATTTCATTAATCTACAATTTCTTTTTCTTTTCAGACGGATGAACCAGAGGTCATAGCATTTCTCCTGGGGTCGGAAATCATACCTCTTTGTCTGGTAATCATGGAATCAGGAAGTGAACTAAGTAGAACTGTGAGTTTTGCATCTTCCAGTCAACCATGTGTTTAAGTGCATTTAGGAAAATCATTAATACATCAGTGTAGCAATTCAGACTAGACGTTGCAATTCTAATACAAGAAATTGGACATCTTCTGTTAATGTTTCACTGTTGTTTATGCCAAATACTTTTGTATCCTGGAAATTTCCCACAGTCCTGTGAATATCATTTAAACAGCAGATGAAATGACATTTGTCGTTTGTAGTTTTGATTTATTATACAAGAGTGACGTGACTCAAAATCAAATTAGGATAGAGTTAACTGTTAATCATATGATTTGGTTGCCAAGGTATTTGTTTTACAAAGTACTTATTTTGTAAGAAATCTAGAAACGTGAAGTTCACACTAGACATCATTATGTATGTGACTATTTCACATTAGTTATACCACCTGCAAACTCCACGTCACTGATTCATTCATCCATATCCTTGTAAACAATCTAGGTGGCGACCTTCATCATGCAGAAGCTTCTTTTGGATGAAGTCGGCCTGGCATACATCTGTCAAACTTATGAGCGTTTCGTTCACGTAACCACTGTTTTGGAGAAAATGGTGATCGACTTGGCTAGAGAGCAGTCATTACGCCTTTTGAAACACGTGATTCGGTGCTACCTACGTCTTTCAGATAATTCGCGGTAAGTGTTTTCAGCCTAACAAGCAAGGTTATGCTTACATTGGAAAATGTCGTTTTGTCGCTATCACTATACGTTTCTTGTATCCGTTTTCTGCATAATATTGTTAGGACGGACAACATAATGTCAGCTATGAAGTCATGATTGAAACAATCAATCAGATATTGGTTGGTTGCAGGATTTCATCCTGCGCTGACATCAGTTAGCGAACCATTGGAACACCTGGGTGTACTAGACAGCTGTTTCGTCCTAGTTTGGGACTCTTCACAGTACATCCTAGCCGCGTGGGTTGGTACCTAGGACCTTCTGGTTACAAGGCTGGCTCGTAAACCAAGTATTGGGAATAAGAAACCTGTTGTTGTGGTTGTTGTTTCTGCCTCAGTTGTCAGTTGAATCTGACTTCTGTGTGCCTACTCAGTGGGGGAGATAAACACCGTTATAACAAAGGACTAATAATAAGCTTTGCGAAATAATTGGTAATAATGGCGCAGAAAAATTACCAGTGTCCTACTGGGAGCAGAATGCTATTCATATCACATGGAAAACAACTTCTATAGTACGTTTTAGTGTAGCCCCTTTATCTCAGTTTCAAATTTAATGCAGCTCAGCAATCTTTCGAGTTTTTGTATTAAAACCAAATGTTGATAAGACAGACCAGATAACTCACTTTAAACTGTTAAGTAGTATCTCAGGCGTTGTCGATGCCTAAATATGATAATTTTTACCTCTGATTTTTATTTCAGTGCGCGTGATGCTCTTCGAGCATGTTTGCCACAACAGCTCACAGATGGCACGTTCAGTGGTTTGCTGGAGAATGATGTGGCTACTAGACGATGGCTCACACAGTTGATTCGTCAGCTGTCTGTTCACACAGTTGGATCTGCAGCGACTGCTAGTACTACCGCTTCTAGTGTTGGTTCCATGGATGTTACCACACTAAATGCCGTTAGTGGTACTCTCACCTGCCTTCCGTCAACTACAACGGTTCCTTCTTCCGTGACTACTGCTGCACCTAGTGTTGACATTTCTGGAACGTCTGTTGCAAGTGGAGTTACAAGTGCTTCTGTGAGTGGGTCAGGAGCATCTGTATCTTCGTCATCTACACAAGGTGTGAACTCTGTGACATCTACGAGCAGTTGATGGACTTACGTATAACCCTGGGAATGACATTATACACAATGTATATGTGCTTTCGATTTCTATTTTAATTGAGTTACTTTCACTCCCTAGTGCTTGACATGCCTATTATCTAGTTTTTTGATGATAAGTTTTCCACTTTATTCCTAACGTGATTGTAATTTTGCATTATCTCTGTATGGATCCTTGTTCTGATAGATTTATTAATGTCCATATGTTTTATGCTACTAAATACATCATACGTGTCCGGACCAAGTTCACTTTTAACAGTTTGGAAAAAAGTTGGGCATTGGGTATATGATGTTAACTGAAGACGACTGCAAAAACCTTCTTATTCGTTTCATATAACATATGCATTTGGCAATTTTGAATGTGTAAATTGAACAAGGTGTTTAGTAGCAGGCGGATTAGCTATTGAGTTGAATCTCCACGTTGTTCGGTGAACTCTGTGCATCTTTGTTTGATTTCGTTAGTTCTATCAGTTCTAAGTTTGATTGGTGTTGGAAAGGCTCCATGAGACTTATTTCGTTTTCATCCAGTTTCCCAACAGTGAAGCTTGATATTTAAACAAAATATTCATTTTTCAGTATTAACTCTTCAGTCGGAATAATTACAGATCAGTTGTGTGTTTCTCTGCTTCGAATGAGAAGTATCAGTATCATAAACAGACTTCATCAAAGAAGCTTCCTTTACAAGCGGGATAATGAGATTATTTTTGTTGTTCCGTGGGTTGTTTTTGACTGTCTATGAGTCTTTATTGTTTTGTGTGTCTCAGTAGCATATTTATCACTCCTGCCCTGTGACATGGCAGCAGGAAGCGCGGTCGTTGTTAATGCGGGCCACGGCCGATCCGGCATGAAATTTTGTGATTTTGTATATATTATAATGTTGGATTGCGTAGCTGCTTTTTGTTTAACCGCTATCCAAACAACCTGCCTGGCATGGTAGGACCTCAAGAGATATAAGTCACAGCTAGTATAGCTTGATAAGGTCACTGCGGTGTTCAATCCTGACCACCACGTCAAGGTAGCTTTCGGTCAGGCGATTCGCTCCCGCCCAATGCAAGATGATGTTACAGGACTGGACTACAACGACGCCTAGTTTAAAAATAGGAAGTGAAGTGGTAGAGCACGTTGACCGCTTCACTTATCAGCCCCAACGGGTTGATCTCTGACGAAATCTAGGCACGAATATAGGGGGCTCGTTTCGCATTTGCCAGTTTACGCCGCCGCTGGCGTAGACGAGATGTTCGACTATCAACCGAAGGGCGGGTGTACTGCTCATCAGTCCGCTCCGTCCTCCTTTATGGCTGTAATACCTTACCACAGAGTGGAAGACATGAAAAGATTAGCTGTCTTTGATCATAGGTGCCTGCGTTCTATCTCCCGTGTGAACTGGCATGATAAGGTGAGCAATATTGGGGTTAGGCGTGGAGTTCTAGGTAAACAGGGGTAATCAATCGACGAAGTCGTGAAGTTACAAAGACTGAGATAGTTAGGATGTGTTACGTATGCCTAGTCATCGCCTTCCTCGACGAGCAATGTTAGCGGATATAGGGTCAGGCTGAAAAAAAGTTAGCGGCGGTCAAACAAAAACTTGGCACCAGTCAATGGAATCTACAACAGTTAGTCTAGGAAGGTATAGACTTCCTGGTTGGGGTCCTCGGGACGGTAAAAATCTATGGTTGGAAACAATTGGTGACATGGCTCAAAATCGTTCTCAGTGGTGCAGATGCATCCACTCCCTGTGACTTATGATCTCCAATGAAACTTTTGTTCTTCGTTATCAATCCTCCTTTGTCTCACACCTCTGCTCACTGTTTCTATTATGCTTTTCTTGTACTTTTTTTCTCTTGCTACATGGAGTGTGGCGACTTGAACTTCCGCACATTTGTGCAAAGTTCTATGTCGAAAACAGACAGTCTATGGTCTAACAATACGAAAATTTAAGTTTTAAAAAGTGGTTAAACGCTGCTTTTTGCGTGTTGGCCATGAGTTATTGATAAAAAAATCTAAGTAACATGATTCCGGAATGATATTAGTAGTTAATTGTCAGGCGTTAAGAGTGTTGACTATTTATAGTGTAATTAGACAAAGGTTCTTGGAGAAAGGACCAGGGTTCAATACTTTGGATAGAAACGAAGTCTAACTACCAGATTTGTTTATACGATAATAAAAAGGAGTTGTATGAGTGGCCTACAGATGAAAAATAAAAAATATACAAAGGTATATTCGTCGTAAAGAATTCTGCAATTGACTATCGGAATCGCAGTTCTTTTGGTGCAATGAACTACAAAAGAGGTTTGGTGTGGAAATTGTTCTACCTCGGTGAAAATCTTTGAAAGAAGGAGAGATACGAATTTGCCACTATTGAAAAGCGCTTACTGGACAGTAGATATCTTCCAAAGCTAATTAACAAAAACAAGGGAATTCCACATATTAAGGAGAATTTGATACAGTTGAGAAGTAACCGATCTTCCTAAAGCTTCGATTCCAAGGTAATGGAGTAATTAAATATCGAATAAATACTGCTCTCAGATGGACTTATTCAGTTGCCAGGTAAGACACAACTTACCGAATAAATTGCTCACCGAGAATCTGTAGTTGACAAGCCAACTTACGTCTAACTACACAAACCAATTTACATGGACGTGCAAAACACATACATCGGACGACGAAGAGGAATTTATAGACATATGTCTGAGCACATTACAAGACACTGCCAAACGAAAGGTGCGATCATCCACCACTTAATTGATAGCAATCATGAAAATGATGTGTTGAAATCACTTGAGATAATTAAAGTTCAGGGGAGTTTCAATACGTATGGATTTAGATAAATGCTGTTAATGAGTCTTACATTGCGATGGCTTACTGATTGGTTTCATCATAGAATATTGCACCGATGTGCAGCAGTCCAAGTCGCCACCCTCCATGTGGCACACTAACCAAGAGAAGAACGTGCATAGTTGATACAGGGAACAGGGGATACGAGGCAATATAATAGTAATAACGAAGAGCAGAGTACCATAAGGAAATGAGTAGAAGAATTCGGACTACTAGAAACGATTTCGAGAAATATCACAGAATCAATTCAGCGATTGGATATACCCTCAACAGGAAAAATATCTCCTAAAACAGCAGGCAAATTCCTTATTAACAACTCACGTTCAATGTACACCTTAATAGAAGTTCCTTTGAGGAAGACACAGGAATTCCTATCGCTATGCCTTGCTTCATCAATTCACTATTATGTAATCAATTGTTTCCATTAAAAGGCACATTGGTTAGTAATGAATTTGTCTGCGGTTTAAGGAGATATTTTTCCTGTTGAGGTTATATCCAATCGCTGAATTGATTCTGTGATATTTCTCGAAATCGTTTCCAGTAGTCCGAACTCTTCTACATATTTCCTTATGGTATTCTGATCTACGTTATTAATATTATATTGCCTCGTATCCCCCGTTCACTCTATCAAACATGCATTACTTCTACGTTCTTCTCTTGGTTAGTGTGCCACATGGAGGGTGGAGACTTGGATTGCTGCATACCGGTGCAATGTTCATTCATAACGAATATGCCTTTGATGGAAACAATTGATTACATAGGTAGTGAATTGATGAAGCAAGGCATAGAGATAGGAATTCCTGTGTCTTCCCTAAAGGAACTTCTATTAAGGTGTACAATGAGCGTGAGTTCCCTGTTCAATAAAGAAATCTATAGACAGTCAGATGATGTTTCCATGGGATCACCACTAGGCCCAATGGTAGGAGAATTTTTCCTGGCGAAACTAGAGAATGGTCCACTTAAAGATGTAATATATATTCTCGATTTCTATTCCCGATATGTTGGTGATACGTTTATAGCTGTTAAGAAAGAAAGTGAAGCTAAGGACATATTGGATGAATTCAGTAGAGCACATCCCAGCATAAGCTTGACTAAGGAAGAAAAATGGGAATAAGAAGGGGAAGAAGAATAAAATGACTCCCCCATTCGCGAAACTAGCCTGTTGTATCCGTGATGAGATTTGGTCAGCGATCAACCCGTTGGCGTTAGCTGATGCAACTCCCCAAATAAGTGAAGTGGCCAACGTGCTCTACCGGTTCACTGGCTATTTCTAAGCTAGGAGTCAGTGTAGCCGTGTGTTTATATCCCATTCAGGGAGGTGTTGGATATTCGGTAGGTTGAGCGTGGCTGTAGGCCAATTGAACTGCTCCTCAAAGTGTTCTTTCCAGCGTTGCAGTCGTCTATCCTGACAGCTAATTATGGCACCATTTTCCTCAGAGATTGCTTCACTTATCGTTTGCCTTTTACCACCTGTTTCCCTGATAAGCCTAAATAGTTGTCTGGTGTTACCAGTCGCCGATGCCTTTTCCATCTCTTTCGCTTTTGTCGCCCACCACTGGTGACGGTCGTTTCGAAGGCTTCTTGTTAGTTTGCGTTTGAGTAGCTTTCGCTCCTCATCATAATCGGAGGTCACCGGAGTCAGTCTTCTTGCGTCAATCAGTTCGGATGAGGCGGTAGAGATCCACTGGCTTTTATTTTGAAAAACTCTACACTATTGTCCTTTATATTTATGATAAATAATTAGAGTATTTCAGATGATTCGCGGTAAGTGTTTTCAGCCTAACTGGATGCATCTTCCTTACTAACCAATGTGCCTTTGATGGAAACAATTGATTACATAGGTAGTGAATTGATGAAGCAAGGCATAGAGATAGGAATTCCTGTGTCTTCCCTAAAGGAACTTCTATTAAGGTGTACAATGAGCGTGAGTTCCCTGTTCAATAAAGAAATCTATAGACAGTCAGATGATGTTTCCATGGGATCACCACTAGGCCCAATGGTAGGAGAATTTTTCCTGGCGAAACTAGAGAATGGTCCACTTAAAGATGTAATATATATTCTCGATTTCTATTCCCGATATGTTGGTGATACGTTTATAGCTGTTAAGAAAGAAAGTGAAGCTAAGGACATATTGGATGAATTCAGTAGAGCACATCCCAGCATAAGCTTGACTAAGGAAGAAAAATGGGAATAAGAAGGGGAAGAAGAAGAAAATGACTCCCCCATTCGCGAAACTAGCCTGTTGTATCCGTGATGAGATTTGGTCAGCGATCAACCCGTTGGCGTTAGCTGATGCAACTCCCCAAATAAGTGAAGTGGCCAACGTGCTCTACCGGTTCACTGGCTATTTCTAAGCTAGGAGTCAGTGTAGCCGTGTGTTTATATCCCATTCAGGGAGGTGTTGG